CATTCTTCAAGAACATAGATCGAAGATAATCAAGCTCGGCTTGCAATTTACTGGGCGAACAACTACGTTTCGCATGGTCCACGAGGTTACGCACTAAGTTGACCTTGTATTGCGACAAACAAGATGAATCGAATGCAATGTTCTGACCAGTGAACGCAGGATTGCGGTACACATAAGTCAACACTTCTCAACCGGTCTTCTCCACAAGAACATCAGAACTGTCTAGAAATGACAACTTACTAGACTGCTCATGCTCACAGGTAAAGCGGAGGGCAGGGCAGGATGTATACTGTTCAGCGAATCGAGAAACAACTCACTGCGCTCAACACCCTCAAAGTAAGTGAACGAATCGTTATAGTATCAATAAGTGAGCCCGGATCAGCGAAAACCATCGCTTGTGTTTGATATCAAGTTGATCAAAAAGTGACGTTGAAGTGGAGCGAAAGAAAAGTCGCGGACCTAACAACTACCCACCACCTTTCTGTCTTTCTTGTCACTAGTCTTTCTTTCCGCCTGACAAGCCCATGTTTGTTTGTTTGTCAGTGACTAGCTAGCTAGGCGAACCCCAGGCAAGTGAGGAGACACGGCTGGGAAACCCCATGTACCTGAGCTTGGCTGGCGAATAGGTACGATCGCGGGGCGCGAGCATCGCACGCGCATCGATCGTCGTTGACGCCAATCACGACACGACATTTTTTGGTGATGACTGGGATGGCGATTGCTCATCAAGGGAGTCAGGTGAAAGCCGCGGAGCTCCCGAGGACGACTCTCTCCTGCCGCAAAGCGACTCGGCGAGGCTGCAGACTTCGTGTAGAAGAAAGCAGCGCTGATGAGAATGACGACGACTCGAGTGGATATTGTTGAGCGATGAACGACTCCTTCACTAGTAAGTTTGTCGGATATCGACAGTGACGATGCAGAGCAAAGGCGTCTCGATTCACGACTGGAAGAGCAACGAGAGCTAGCGCCAGACAAGATCTGCTTCGTTGGCTTGGACACTGAGCAACGTTACTTGAAACATGTATTTGGTCCATGCAGCAGCTCCCAAAATAATTCAAAAAAAGATGTTCCTGTAGGGTCAGGTAACCGTTGAATGTATCTGCACCTAGTACGTACCTCATGCTCATGAGCCTGTGTGCTAAGTAGTCACAGCTGCTGTGATTGCACTCCGTGTGTGCAGATATGTTTTCATGGAAGTGAAGGGCTTGGAGAGCATCAGTACAGAGCCTGGTGTGGATGCAATATCAGCCCCTGGAACTTGGCCATATGCCGTTAGCTGCGCGATAGTCAGTGAAGCCAATGATTTACTTGGACGAGCCAGTGTCTGAGTACACCCCCAAGGACTATAAAATTCCTCCTTGTTAGCCGGCTGAGTGATGGCAATGCCTAACAGGATCAGACACATACCAACGCTCATACTTGCATCCTACACAGAAATGCCACTTCCAACATTTGTACAGAGATGTGGTGTACCGCATTTTTTGGTCACTTACGGTGCTGTGATTGATCTAAAATTTCTTGAGACTGGTTATCAGTGGTTGTGGATCAATTTGGAGCACAAAAATATTTTTCGAAAATTTTGCACATGTGATGGTTTTTGCTGATCCAGGCTCAAGTATTGACCCCCCCCCCCCACACACCCACACACCCACACACACATCGCCACACACACATCGCCACAGGATAAATAACATGTATACATTGTATTATTCTACCATCCAGTAAAAACGACATCATACTGGCGGAAAACAATGCCACCCCCCCCCCCTCCCCCCCCCAGCATGTCAGTATGAATATGCCATAATTATATGGCCCAGAATCTGCGAAAACCAGGCTTAGGGTGAAAATCATTTTTTTGAGAAAATGATGTTTTGTAAAAAGGTTGTGTCGCGTGGACGATCGAGTGCAGTGAAGTGGAACCAAAGTTTGCCCAAAGAGAATTTCGCTTGTTTGAAGAAGTAGCAGTCATTGCAGGAAGGGTTTCAGCAGTCAGGGAAGTCAAAGGGCTTCCGGTAGAGTATTCTCTGCTACTCCTCTAGTCACAACGAAGAGTTTTTGAGCTGATCGAACGGATTCCATTTCCTACACTCAGGGATGGCGAAATTTCTGCGCTAGCTGCTGCTTGCGGAATATGGTGAAGAAATCGTCTCCAGTTAGAGTCGTGATGGCGATAGCGAGGAGAACCTGGACGACATCGACCCAGCCAATTGAAGTACAGAGATACTAGCTGTTTCTGGGCCTCACGCAAAGGGAACGCGCGCAGCGGAGCTCATACGTTTGCAGCAAATTCACGAGGAAAATGGCTTGAAGCGCAGTGTGAAAACGGTTTTGAATTGAAGTCCTTGGCGATGAAGTGCTACTGAATGCCAGGCGAATGAGCGAGCAGATCGAGAGTCCCCCACTCGAGACTTTCCTCGCTGGACAGCTAGCTGCAAGGGATTGTACGGTGTGCTGATATTTCACTTGCTGGTCAGCACCAAGCAGATACTGCAGCACGCCAGCACACTATGCGCTTACTATGAACAGTGGAACAGTTTGAAAGGCTGTGTTCTTGCTTGTTTCTGAACAGTTGTACTAGATTCACCCTTCAAAAGGTGCCATCTCAACTGGAGTCGGGTTTCCTTGTGGTGTGTAGCGCCAGAGCATGCCAGTACATGTAGTTCAGCCCCAGAATGTGCTGAGTGAGGAGCAAACAAAATTCATGCAGAACTGTGCATGGCCACTACAGCCTGCAGCACCAAGGGGCCACAACAAGCCTGCCCCCACATGCCTACCTTGTCATGTCACCTAAACAAAAATCATCCATGTCTCTTCCTTCAGTCTGGTGGATCTCTCTTCATTTCTTTCCGGTGATAACAATTTTGTGTTTTTTTTTGGATTTTTTAACACAATACCCTGGTGTGCTTGAGATGCTTTTAATACCACTATGAGTCGACCCACACCTGTAATATTTTGTTTCCTGACCCCCCCCCCCCCCCCCCCATGCCCAGTAGAAGCTGAAAATGGGAAAAAGTCATTTTGTGAAATTTCACCCTAAGCCTGGTTTTCGCAGATTCTGGGCCATATTGGATATACTTCAAGTAGGACCCAGGTCCTGTGTGTATTTGCCTATTGGGGTGCCATTACCGGTATACATGTATATGCAAGCTTCGCGGTACGTGAGAAGTAAGTAAAAATAACTCAGCCCACTCACTGAAAAATCGCACTGCATGCTTGAACTGGTTATCCGAAGGAGGTGGTGGGTTGATGAATGGCAAGCCCATGATATTTCTGGCCGGAAGATCACAATCATATGTCTGTTCAGTGCCCTGACAACTCAGTAGACCACGAGTGTGAGAGCGGAGTGCATCCGCCCACGCCTTAGTTGTGCCGTACACGAGACCACCATCGAGCCAAGGTGTGTTCTCATTCAGTTGCTGACGTGGGTTGTTCTGAGACTGCCCAGTGTTTGCATCATAGCGTGAGCGAAGGAAAGGCATGTACTTGCCACCCACTCCTTCAGGATCGTACAGCCTATGGCCGCGCGGTATTGGGACGTTGTAGTACTCCGCCGGGCAGCCGGGTCTCTGTGAGTCCAGGATTTCCTCCACCACGTGCTGACCTGTTCAGGAGAAAGACGATGTGTGTGTGTGTGTGTGTGTGTGTGTGTGTGTGTGTGTGTGTGTGTGTGTGTGTGTGTGTGTGTGTGTGTGTCAACACAAGCAACTCAGCCGCACACATGCATGCGAGCAGCACTGTACACAAGGCAATAACTGTTACCAGGACACTAAGCTGCACAATGGTGGACTGATGAGTGACCTAGTGCTGGCACTCAGCAAAAAGCAGAAACGAGGTTCGTATGCGGGAGAAGTGCATCAGTTCCCAATTGCAAACCTACTTCCTCCGGAAACATAAACTTCGTGACTTTTTTCACTACTTTTCGCTGCTGTTATTTCGCTCTCTCTCTGGTTCTGTCAGCCAGAAACACTGACATGACAGTTCGGAATCGTAGGAAAGCATGATTCATATTATGGAGAGCCGACAGTCGTCGCAGAGCAAGGGTGTCGACGCTGCGAACAAAGCAAAGCGAACATGTTTCTCATCGTTCGTCCATCAGGCGCAATGGGAAGAAAAGCACTGCGCTCACTGCTCGTCGTAGCTATTTTTTTGTTCAGAACTTGACAGAGCAGCACAATGGCACCGAGGAGCAAGAAGAGTGGGAAATGAATCGCAATAGCAGCTAGCGTTTTGAAATCTTCGCCATCCCCGAAACGCCTGTCTCAGTGTCTGCATGCGAACAAGATGTCAAAATTCCAAAACGCAGAGATGTGACAATGGCCACTTCGCGCAGCAGAGCAAGATGAACAAGTTCAAAATAGAATTCGTTCAGTCCCTGTAGAGCCCAGACCTCAACGTGGATGATCTCGCCTTTTCCGGCAGCCTCGACGATGCGCCCTTGGCAAAGGAGAAGGCGAGATCTGATCACGGCAGTCAGGAAGTGCTGGTATGACTATGATATCCCTTGGAGGACATTTGAAATGTTTGGCGTTGCCTGTGTTTGTTGTTCCGGGGCAGCTCCTCGGGCGAGAGGGGAGGCGGCAATGAGTACCAGCGCTGCAGCGCTGCCGTGGTCTCCGCCGAGATGTTGGAGAAGGCACTCAGGTAACAGCGAAGACGATCAGGGACGCGGAGAAGCTTCTCCGTGACATACTGTACGACATCGCGTCGATCGACCTGCCACTTGGAACGATTTCAGCGGTGATGAGTCGAGCGATGGCGACCCAGACTGAGACGCTACAGTAGACTCGTATGCCCAAGAACGCGGTTTCAGAGGGCCAGCCTAGCAAAGTTCTTATTTTTCAGCGCCCCAGGCTACGTTCTTATTTCGCGTTCTGACGCGTCCAACATGACACGTGACGCTCATGTACAATGCACTTTGCGCTACATGTACCGGTTGTACACTTTACATGCACGTGTAGTATGTAGCGCTGCACTGGGTGATGTTTTCGTGAGGACCCGACAAGAGTTTGTGGTTGCGGACTTGTTTTTCGTGTACTCGGACAAGATCATGAAGGTGCAATCCGCTTGCAAAACAAACCGGCACTCAATCACGTCTCTTTCTCTCTCTCCTTTTCAAAAAATGTCGCGTTCTTAAAAATCTTGGAGTTCGTTCTTAAATCCAGGCTGTGGCGTTCTTAGATTTTGTCCAGCCTTGACGTTCTTGGGCGTACGAGTCTACTGTACTCCCAATAATCGATCCTGTAGATATTGTAAATACTGTAAAAGCAGAAATTCTCGGTGGTGTTTTATTTTCGGTAACTTCGGTGCCGATAATTTTTACCGAAAATAAAACGCACCGAAATTTTCGGTACAACCGATACTGTATACATGTAGTACTAGTACACCTACCTGGAGAACGGGTTTTACCGAAAATTTCCCGCTACCGAACCGCCGATTTTGGCGAATACCGAAAATATTACACCGCCGAAAATTTCTGCTTTTACAGTATGTCGATTGACTGTTTTGAAGTGTTTCTCTTCCAAAAGAACACTTTTGTTGGGCACAGTAACTCCTTGAAAAGTGAAAAGAATTCGGGTGGACACACCCATTCCCACCTTGAAAAGTCATGTCAAAAAGTCAAGAAGTTTTTTGTTTCCGGAGGAACTACCCTTACCAAAGAATGTCAGAAGTGCCGTTCGGTTTCTCAACGATGTTCTACCAAAAGATCCTCTCATAGTACTCTCAGCAATATCAAGCGGGTTGGGACGTGCTGCGCCGGATGGTTCCGACATACCATCAGCGTATGTGGGAGACAAGCGGCGAATGAGAGGTCTGTCTAGAAATATAAAATAAGCAGTAGTGCATCATGCATGCACGCACATACACACACACACACACACGCAATCATACATGCACATGCACATACGCACACGTGCACACACATACATACAGATACAATCATATAATTATATGCACCTCACACATGCCCATCGCGGAAGCGATGATAGCGAACAGCTATGTTAGACATAGCAACTTGTGCTGGGATTACACCATTCAACAGCTTGCGATGCTGATGAATTGACCACCACTGATGTTTAGCCTGGTATCCACCACAGTGCTGATTGAAGTGGCTTTTTTTTCTGGCCAGTGAATACCTATTTTTCATTCATTTTTTTCGACACATACACCACACCACATACTCCGGCATACACTGGCTGTTGGTAACCGCCCAGTAGAATGAAAGAGGAGCTAGGAGAATGAGAAAGAGAAGAAAGACGTGTGCGAACATAATCGTCGGGGATTGAACCCGCAACCTCTCGATTGGAAATCGACTGCACATACCACTGCACGATATGGGACACACACACACATTGTAATATAATTATATATGGCCCAGTATCTGCGGAAATGGACCTTAGGGTGATTTTTCACAAAATGACTTTTTTCTGCTATTGTCATCTATAGGTATCTAGTGATCACATGGCAAAGTATTAGACCAAACAAAGCAATATTGATGACCCAGAAGCTTCTCAAACAAGCATAGGTACATATCAGGAAATACAACAATTTATCACAGTGTTTTCCACATCGGAATACTATATGTTACAGTGAAATAAATAAAAAATAGACAGTGTAATAAATCATCCATCCAGTTTTTGTTGTAAAACAACTCTTGGGCAACCTCTGGCATAGAGCATGGATGGCCTTGATCCTCATCACTGCATACCAATCCAAACTGTTTGAACGCCATCCCAAGTCTGCTGAAAATTCACAGAAGTCCAGAACAGGAGGGAAGGTGGCTACAACTACACCTGGAGTCCCAGTCTGTGCATCCCACCGGGAATACGACACAGGCACAACATTCTAACACCCCACACTTCATCTCATACAAGATTTAGAGGTAGTCCATCACTATGACTGCTGCACCTCTGTGAAATTTGAGCTCTGTGGGAACTGGCTGCATGCACGTCAGTGCGCCATGATTCCAGCACTGAGCGCAGCAGAGTTCTGAGTTCGTAGCTCATCAATCAATGGTCAGCTCTTGCCCCGTCCAAGGGGTTTGGTGTTCACCACGGAGTCCAGTGTGGGGAGCCTGGGAAAATTCAGATCATGTCACTAGCGGCAGCGCTCTTTCGTCCTGACTCGAGTTGATCCAGGGCATTTCAGTTCATCTACCTCTGTTGACGTCGCCTCACTAGTTTCTCCTCGTTGAGTATTTCTCCCGAGCGGAGCTGTACTAAATTCAGAAGGGCCCTACAAGGATTTTCAGATGTCAGAAAGTACTTTTGCCAGCAGAGAGCTCCTTTGGCGGAGCGCCTAAATCAAGTTGAAATTCTCGTCGCTAAATAGGAATTGCGCGTCGACAAAAACATCTTCTGGAAACTGTCGTCGTTCTCTATCAGACGCGACGATTTCTCCCTAGGAAATCCAATGACTTCTGGCAGGGCCGGACGGCAGCTAGCTGGCCATCGTGAGCGAACTCTCCTGCTACTGGGACGATCAAAAGCATTCATTGTTGCGATGAACTAATTTTTTGTTTGAATGTGCAGAGCGCGAAGCAAGAGTTTTTTTGCCGTTGCAGAAAATGACTTATTCTGAAAAAAATGATTTTCACCCGAAGGTCGATTCTCGCTGATACTGGGCCATATATATATATATTATACACACACATACGCACATCACACACATGCACACGTGCACACACACACACAAGTGACATACACATGCAATCATATTATTATATGCACCCCCCCCCCACACACACACACATACACACACACACACACACACATACACACGCACACACATACACACGCACATATACAAATGTGCATGCACACACGTACACACACTCGTGCAAACACATGCGTACATACCTGCGTGCGCACACACACACATGCATGCGAACCTCGGATACCAAGTACTATAACACATTCCAGCTGCCCACGTGGGTATGTATACACAGCAGTGGAGATGTAGTCACAAACAGCTACATGTACATATGAGTGTGCATTAAGAATTTAAGAGGTGGCCGCGATACGGCAGTGGACGTGTAACATCTCACCAGTACCACCCAATTCCGGACGGGCCAGGTTGTTGTTCCGGCCATCATAGCGCTGTATCTCTGGCAGCTGAACTGTACGACACAGCGAGAATTGAGAAGAACGGTGAATGGAGATGGAGGAGGAGGGGGGGGGGGGGGGGCACATGCTGGTTAGGTGGAAACCCACGTGATACAGGCCAGTTCAAGTGTGCATGGCGCAATACTTCCGACCCCAGTACATAATGTACCGGTATTCATGGGTTTAATTAAAGGGGAAGTTAAGGCAAAAATTAAAATTTCACCAGTTGTAGTCTTCGGGGTGCTGAGTCGAATGGTCTTGGTCCGAGAAAGCTGAGACGCTCCCTTCCTACTTGAATCCCAATCGAACTCGCGCACTTCCACCGAAACTGGGTGACTGCGCCCTACGAGATGGGGATTTGTATGCAAAATGTCACTAAAAGCGCCATTTCGTTCTTATAAAAGCACGGATGACCGCGATTGGCCCATATGTTGTAGTCTTTTGGACACTGAGTCGACTGGTTTTGGTCCGAAAAGGCTGCGATGCAGCGTTCCTCCTTTATTCCCAATCGAACATGGTTGAAGAAGCGGTCACGTGCTCCTGGGTGCTAAAATCACCTGGTCACCACGCCAGCAGGCGACAACTTTCACACCAAGGTTCAACTCGAGTGACAGGACTGCACCCAAAAAAGGTCAAAACAGGCTGTAAGTTGTACCCTGCAGGCACGGTGACCAGGTGACTGGTGTACGCAGGAGCACGTGACCGCTTGTTCTACCATGTTCGATTGGGAATTAGGGGCGAACGCTGCATCGCAGCCTTTTCGGACCAAAACCAATCGACTCAGCGACCAAAAGACTATAACATATGGGCCAATCGCGGTGATCCGTGCTTTTATAGGAACGAAATGGCGCTTTTAGTGACATTTTGCATACAAATCCCCATCTAGTAGGGCGCAGTCACCCAGTTTCGGTGGAAGTGCGCGAGTTCGATTGGGATTCAAGTAGGAAGGGAGCGTCCCAGCTTTCTCGGACCAAGACCATTCGACTCAGCACCCCGAGGACTACAACTGGTGAAATTTTAATTTTTGCCTTAACTTCCCCTTTAAGGGAGTCAAAACGAGAACAGTCTGAAGAAATAAACGCACACATCTTGTGAGCACATGTAGCTACTTTGTAACAGTCTTTCACCATACACTAACAATACATATAACAGTCTTTCACCATACACTAACAATACATATAACAGTCTTTCACCATACACTAACAATACATATAACAGTCTTTCACCATACACTAACAATACATATAACAGTCTTTCACCATACACTAACAATACATATAACAGTCTTTCACCATACACTAACAATACATAAATTATAACAATCTTTCACCATACACTAACAATACATATAACAGTCTTTCACCATACACTAACAATACATATAACAGTCTTTCACCATACACTAACAATACATATTATAACAGTCTTTCACCATACACTAACAATACATAAATTATAACAATCTTTCACCATACACTAACAATACATATAACAGTCTTTCACCATACACTAACAATACATATAACAGTCTTTCACCATACACTAACAATACTTATCACTCTCTTATTATTGACCCCCACAGAAACTTGTGATCTCTAAGCGGTCAAATATCAGCATATATTGACCGCTTATATTGACCACTTATTATTAGGGCTGAAACGATTATACCGAATAATCGAGTACTCGTTTGATAACTCTAACGATCGAGCAATCGTTTAGATTACCGATTACGATTATTTTGCGTTTTTTAAATTTGTGTCAAGAAAGTAGTGTAAACCCTCGTTTTGTGAAGTTTGAATCAGTTTCCGCTGGGAGTATGCAGTTGCCAGGGGTATGGTTCATGTTCTGAGGTTAAAATTGACTTCAAAACTGCCATGTTTCGGAGCTACCCTTTCACTAATGCAGATTTGTTGGTATTATGAAGGCATAGTTTGTGGAAACAGAGTAATGTTTGCACAGAATTATGACTCTATTTGCTAACGATTATAATCGATTACTCGATCGTTAAGCTAAAGAGTAATCGATACTTGAAAATCCACGATCGTTTCAGCCCTACTTATTATTGACCACTTAGCCCGAGGACTTAGTACTTTTTCCTCAACTTAGAAAAAAATCAGAACTGAAAGAAGAAAAATCTGAAGCCAAATGCTGGGATTTGAACCCAAACTGTCAGATTCTCAGTCAAAGAACTTGGGGAACATACTACAAGAGACAACTGAAAACTTCGGTTTACACAGAAGTAATGTCCAATGTAAACGGCATATGTACATACTATTACAATAGTATTCCTTTCTTCCTATAGCAAAGCAAAAACAGTTTTAGGTATGCTATGTCGTGATAAATCTATTATTGCCCTCATAATCGGTCAATATATGAAATATAGACCTCGTAAAAGACCTCGGGGGACCTCGGTCTTTTACTCGTTCTATATTTCATATATTGACCTCTTTAATCGTGCAATAATAGATACATATAACAGTCTTTCACCATACACTAACAATACATATAACAGTCTTTCACCATACACTAACAATACATATAACAGTCTTTCACCATACACTAACAATACATATAACAGTCTTTCACCATACACTAACAATACATATAACAGTCTTTCACCATACACTAACAATACATATAACAGTCTTTCACCATACACTAACAATACATATAACAGTCTTTCACCATACACTAACAATACTTAGAACGAGGTCTGTCTCGTTGTCCAGGAAACGACCAATCAGCGACATTCCCGCCAAGGGCCTTATCAGAGTTTAAAGCCCGCTCAATCGTTATTTTACTACTCTTGATGACGCGTCGAGGGCCTTGGATTAGTTTAAAGCCCGCTGAATATACTCTAAACTGGTGCGTACAACTCCCTGTATGCATAATAGTACGGTGCAGATAATGAACTCTGCATAACGTGTACGGTGTACTACTAAAAGCTACGCAATTCAGAAGTGTGTACGGTTTTTCCTCCCGTATTCTTTCACCTGTACGAATTTTCTTTGTCAACAGCTTGCGGAAACCTATAAAAACCGAAGATCAAAGTCATTAGAGTTATCGACAAGGGGCTCTCAAAGCCCCTAAATAGCTCCACAAGCTACATGTATGAATAAGAATGAAGCTCGCAATAAGAGCCCAGCATTTCATTTGCTTCCATTCTACTTTAAGTAGTCCTAAGTGGTGCTGAGTTACCATAACTTTCCAGAAGAAAATATTCTTTCATACCACATCAATTCTCTTGAGACTATCATCAGGGAAAATCGTCTCACAATAGAGGCTATACGGAGAAACAAACTACTTATAGGTTATCGGATAGTGGGAAGTATACAAGGTGAGGTGTGAAAAAAAACTAAAGTGGGAGAGAAGACGAAAGAAATTAGAAGAAAAGATGTGAGAGTGTTCTGACGGTGTGAGCTGCTTCCACGCCTTCATTTCACTCACCTTATGTAGTAGCTCACACCGTCAAAACACTCTCACATCTTTTCTTCTAATTTCTTTCGTCTTCTCTCCCACTTTAGTTTTTTTTTCACACCTCACCTTGTATACTTCCCACTATCCGATAACCTATAAGTAGTTTGTTTCTCCGTATAGCCTCTATTGTGAGACGATTTCCCCTGATGATAGTCTCAAGAGAATTGATTAGGAACAACCATTTTAGATACATGTATTCTCATTCATCATTTTGTAATGTCCGCTTCACTAATACTATTAATCGCATTAATAAAAACTTAGAAGTTGCGACTTCGGCGGTAATAGTCATGAAGTTGGTTGCTCCAACGAGGAGCACATGCTTCTTGCCGAACTTGACACTTGACTGACTCACGACTGCCATCCGGAGCACACCAGGAGCACGTCGCACCTTCCGCGTGAGGGACAACAATACGAACTTAGAAGTTATATAGTTATAGTGGTGCTTTCTTTCAGGTTTGCCGAGCGGAAGGTGCGACGTGCTCCTGGTGTGCTCCGGATGGCAGTCGTGAGTCAGTCAAGTGTCAAGTTCGGCAAGAAGCGTGTGCTCCTCGTTGGAGCAACCAACTTCATGACTATTACCGCCGAAGTCGCAACTTCTAAGTTCGTATTGTTGTCCCTCACGCGGACGTGCGACTAGTTGTTGGAGGTGACAGCGTTGTGAATAGCTATACTGGCTCTCAACGTCTGTTTAGCACAACTCCATGAGCGACTCTGACTCACGCTGCTACCTGGGGCTTCACGAGGTGTTTGTCGCGCTGGAAAGAAAGCATCTCTGTAAGTTTGTATCCCTGGTGATGGTTTGGCCTGGAGAGCAGTATATAAGTGGTGCTTTTCAGGCACAATCTTCCTCAGCCTACTCAAGCTCAACTGATGAGGGGTGAATTCCCCGAAACACTGTGTATTGAGCAGGGAGTGGTGCTTTCTTTCAGGTTTGCCGAGCGGAAGGTGCGACGTGCTCCTGGTGTGCTCCGGATGGCAGTCGTGAGTCAGTCAAGTGTCAAGTTCGGCAAGAAGCGTGTGCTCCTCGTTGGAGCAACCAACTTCATGACTATTACCGCCGAAGTCGCAACTTCTAAGTTCGTATTGTTGTCCCTCACGCGGACGTGCGACTAGTTGTTGGAGGTGACAGCGTTGTGAATAGCTATACTGGCTCTCAACGTCTGTTTAGCACAACTCCATGAGCGACTCTGACTCACGCTGCTACCTGGGGCTTCACGAGGTGTTTGTCGCGCTGGAAAGAAAGCGTCTCTGTAAGTTTGTATCCCTGGTGATGGTTTGGCCTGGAGAGCAGTATATAAGTGGTGCTTTTCAGGCACAATCTTCCTCAGCCTACTCAAGCTCAACTGATGAGGGGTGAATTCCCCGAAACACTGTGTATTGAGCAGGGAGTGGTGCTTTCTTTCAGGTTTGCCGAGCGGAAGGTGCGACGTGCTCCTGGTGTGCTCCGGATGGCAGTCGTGAGTCAGTCAAGTGTGAAGTTCGGCAAGAAGCGTGTGCTCCTCGTTGGAGCAACCAACCGCATTAATAAAGTTATTGTCTCCTCGTCGCCTTTTCAATGTATATTATAGCAGTCTTTCACCATACACTAACAATATTACGAAGTTGCGGTTGCGACTTCGGCGATGATTTGTAAGAAAGGGTTTGCTCCCCACACCGGAGCTCGCGCTATTCCGCCGACGTTACTTGACACTTGACTGACTCACGACTGCCATTCAGAGCACACGAGAAGTCCATCGAACCTTCGACTCGGCAAACCTGCAAGAAAGCACCACTCCCTGCTCAATACACAGCGTTTCGGGGAATTCACCCCTCATCAGTTGGGCTTGAGTAGGCTGAGGAAGATTGTGCCTGAAGAGCACCACTTATATAGTGCTCTCCAGGCACAAACATCACCAGGGATACAAACTTACAGAGACGCTTTGTTTCCAGCGCGACAACTACCTCGTGAACACCAGATAGCAGCGTGAATCAGTGTGTCGCTTCTGGACGTCGGCGGAATAGCGCGAGCTCCGGTGTGGGGAGCAAACCCTTTCTCACTAACAATATGTATCTAATATTGACTGAGTACGAGGTCAATATAGGAAATAAAGGCCGAGTAAAAGACTGAGGCGAAGCCGAGGTTTTTTACGAGGTCTTTTATTTCCTATACTGACCAAGGACGAATTCAATATTAGATTTATCACGACTAACCAAAGCATGTGTTCAATCTCTAAAAAGGAGTCAAATATAAGCGGTCAATATAGCCCTAAGGAGTCAAATATGCAGGAATATTTGACTGCTTAGGTATGGCAAAAATCTATGTGAGTCAATACTAAGGGAGTGATAAATACATGTACTACATTATACAGTCTTTCACCATACACTTACAAGATGTATCTATTATTGCACGATTAACCTGAGAGGTCAATATATGAAATATAGAACGATTATGAGGGCAATAATAGATTTATCATGACAAAGCATACCTAAACTGTTTTTAGCTTTGTTTATAGGAAGAAAGGAATACTATTGTAATAGTACATAGTATGTACAAATGCCGTTTACATTGGACATTACTTCTCTATAAACAAAAGTTTTCAGTTGTCACTTGTAGCATGTTCCCCAAGTTCTTTGACTGAGAATCTGACAGTTTGGGTTCAAATCCCAGCATTTGGCTTCAGATTTTTCTTCTTTCAGCTCTGATTTTTTTCTACAGGCTACGTTTTATTGTTGTTATTATTGCAAAGCTTTCCTTTTGATCTTCAAAATTTGAGTATTTTTCTAAGTTGAGGAAAAAGTTCTAAGTCCTCGGGCTAAGTGGTCAATAATAAGTGGTCAATATAAGCGGTCAATATATGCTGATATTTGACCGCTTATAGGAGATTCACACACACGGGTAAACCTGAGGTCACGGGACAAGGTAAAAGTTCAGACCTTCGGTCAACGGAATTCACACCTGTGGTCAGTTTTCCCTTGACCGCACGTTTGGCCATGACCTTGTGGCGGGGCAACTAAAAAAATAATCTGTACTGCATTTTTGTAGTACATTCTGTACTGTATCTTGCATTCGCCATGCACGATTTTCTGATGGGCACTGTCTGAAAATGCAAGTTGCGATGCACTCGTACAACTAGGTTCAGAGTTCTCGCCAAAGACAGGATCTACGCATGCGCGTCTTATAGCCATAGGATTTTTCCCTTGACAAACGCCCTGAGGCCCACGGCCACGGCTTTGCCAATTTTTTCCCGAGAGGTTCTTCCTTTTCCCCAGTACCATAGTTTCCATAACAACTTTCCCATAACCGTGGTTTTACCCGTGTGTGTGAATCCCCTATTAGAGATCACAAGTTTCTGTGGGGGTCAATAATAAGAGAGTGATAAGTACATGTACTACATTATCCATTCGCTTGACGGAAAGGTGCAAATGGGAAAAGTCTCAAGAATTTTTTTTCACCACCTGGACTTGAGCCAGGGACCCTCGTTTATGTCCAGCAATGCTCTACCACTAGTAGTACCAAGTACCGTAGTGACCATGAATGGAATCTCGCCGTTCGATGTCATGCCATGAGCCCTGGAATCGATTCGGAATCCATTCGCCCCTATTCACATGGGGTGATGTGAATACTAGTAGCGCAAAATTTTTGGAAATTTAGAGCCCAAATCAGTGCATTTTATTGATTCACGGGGTACTTGGGGCAGATAGTGGTACGGTCAATACCGTAGTGACCGTACCGTGTGCGACGCCCCTGACAATGCATGCCAAGCCAGACCCATGGTCGAAATTTTTGAGGGGGGTGCTTTGGCACCCAAAGCACCCCCCCCCCCCTGCCTACGCGCCTGACATAGTGGAGTGAACACATACCGTAAAGTTGCGGATAAAAGCCGGGTTTGTATACAAGCACATTGCGGATAGAAGCCTGAAAATCAAACGGGTTAAATGCATATAAGCCTGTCGCGCTTAGAAGCCTGGCTTCTATGCAAGCGTGGATCGGGTAGGTCAAGAGTGCATGTGCTATGTACGGTGCATAGTAAAACTGCCGCCATACCGGTAGTCAGTGGTAGATCTACGCGTGCCGATGTGCATACAAGCCTAGCAAAAAAATCAGTGGTGCAGTGCTGAGTGCTACATATATGCACACAGGAAATGTGTCAACAAAGTCACACAAAGTCACACAAAGTCACACAAAGTCACACAAAGTCACACAAAGTCACACAAAGTCACACAAAATCACACAAAGTCACACAAAGTCGCACAAGGTCACACAAAGTCACACAAAGTCACACAAAGTCGCACAAGGTCACACAAAGTCACACAAAGTCACACAAAATCACACAAAGGCACACAAAGTCGCACAAGGTCACACAAAGTCACACAAAGTCACACAAAGTCGCACAAGGTCACACAAAGTCACACAAAGTCACACAAAATCACACAAAGTCACACAAAGTCGCACAAGGTCACACAAAGTCACACAAAGTCGCACAAAGTCGCACAAGGTCACACAAAATCACACAAAGTCACACAAAATCAGAAGAATGTTGTGTGTTTTTTTGTCTCAGCTTATAACTGCACATGTTACGACTGTACAATGTCTGTTGTTTCGTGGCCTCAGCTGAAACAAACCAATGTACCGGTACATGATTGTACGTGCTCATTATTCCGGCAAATAGCGCTACAGTCCATTTCAAAACTATAGACGCGTACCTAGGCAAAAACCGTTATGCCAGCATCTATACCACATAAAATCTGTGATCACTTTGTGCATAAATTTTTCCAAATTGGGCGTCTGTTATCCAATCCTTTAGAAACTATATGAGAGTAATTGTGGAGCGATCCTGAGCAATATTCCGAAAACTATTCTCAAAAAGTTCCAGCCAAATTTGAAATATTTCAAAAACCCTACGCGTCTATAGTTTTGAAATGCACTGTAGTGCTGCTCATTAGCTTATTGGCTATGCAGTGCCAGATTTAAACCAGGCCCAAAGGTACCTTGCCAGAGTGCTCAAACTGACAAGTCAGTGAGCTCTGCATTGCGCAAACAACAAAGGTACTACCACCCCCCCCCCCCCCCCAAATACATGTTCCTGCGCACTATTTCAACAGTTCATGGCACAGCAACAATCAAGGCGCAGCACCCACATGTTCTATTGCTGAAGATCTGCTCCTGAATTTCCTGTGCAGCAGCCAGTATGTGCAGGCCGGCGAACAAGACCGGCACGATCACGTTCATGTTTGTCTTGTCAGCCGCTCCTGCTGCAGAGCATGTGAGAGCACAAAGACGAGGAACAGGACCGGGACAAAGACAAGATCTTGGATGATGGTGAGGATGCGTCACTCACAACAACAGCAATGGCAAAGCATGGACAATGGAATACAGAAATAGGAATCCATGACATCATTTTCACTATTCATGACAACACCGTAGTGCTGATGTATGGGCACGTGTGCGTGTGTGTGCCGGTGTGTGCATGCACGCACGCACGTGTGTGTGTGTGTGAGAGAGAGAGAGAACGAGAGTGTGCGTGTGTGTGCACGTACAGGTATGTGTGTTTGCGTGTGTGCGTGTTTTAACTAGGTAGATAGATCTCATTCCTAAAACTTGGAGGTGAAGACTCTATGCGTGGTGTGGATTGCAGTGACTTCCGTGCCTGGATCTAAAGTTGAGCCTCTTCATCACACACACAAACGTCCACCCTGCTGTGTGTGATGCGCATCTAAGGCGTCCGTGGTCATGCACGCCAGGAAGTGAATCGAACCTGCGGGTCTCCGATTTCATTTG